CCTGGCGGCTTTCCAGCCTCGGAGGGCCCTCCAGCATTTGCGCCTCGCCGAGGGTCGTCCGGGGCTGCCCAGATCGTCCCGAACGTCCGCCAGAGACCCGAGTTATGACTTGATGAAAGCTGGACGACAGGTAGCCAAAGGCTGGGCTTTGGGGGGGGATGCATCGACCCCCACCCATGGATCGATCGCCGATAGCGGCCCGATCGCCCACCCCGCCCAGGGGCGCGGTTTCGCTATCGGGAGCCTACCGCCGATCTATCGACGATGTATCGTCGATGCCAGGTCGATGTCCCCCCCTGTGCCAGTGCCCCCCCTGTCGTTGCCCCTCAGCCATGCACATCGAAATAGTGCGCGCGCTAGATCAGGGAAGGGCGAGTCGAGGCAACTATAGTTGGCCTTCGGGGGGCCCCCTCGTCGCCACGGCGGGGCGCAGCTCGCAACATTAGTGCGTTTGGATCCCAGGAGGGGTCCGGAGACCGATTTTGAGCTGCCGTTGTCTCAACTCGCCTTGCTCCGCTTTCTCTCAACTGAGCGACGCAAAACAACGGAGCGCCCTCGCCTCCACGGTGGCGTGCCTCGCTGGCGGCCCGCGTAAGCCGCCGCGTAAGGTTGCTACAGCAGGTTCGCGTCGTGTCGACCGGCGGCGACCCCGCCGCCAGCGTTCAAGGCTGATCTCCCCTGGCGACCCAGAATGGGTCGATGTCGAACGATCTACTCCAGATCTCGTAATAAAAGGGAGGGGGTCTGGACCCTCCAAGACAGGCCATTTCAGACCCCCCCTCGTGGGAGAACCCTCCAAAACGTCGTCCCCAGACCCCCCCAGGCACTCCAAGATAGCCTGGAAGAGACCCCCCCCGAAAGGAGACCCCCTCCCTTTTATGACGAAATCTGGAGTAATGTCCCGTGAGCGGCCGATCGTTCGAGGCTGAGCGGTCCCCGCGGCGTGAGGAAGCCAGCGCCGGGGCCGGCGCGGCGCGAGCCTGCCGCATGCCATCCCGCACAAGACCCGTTCTTTGAGCGTCGTTGGCGCCCAGCTCACTCTTGGGAAGAGCGCTCCATGCAGCGCCGTTTTTAAGACATGCTCCGCGTGCGGACCATGTATTGAAAATAAAGGGTTGATTAATACATACAAGGATGAGTTTATGCACAAATTCATTCATGCATTACGCATGGATTAAAAGCAACAACCCAATGTTACCTAACAGCGAAGACTGATAGGCTTCTAGTAGTGTCAAAAGAAGTCACAGATCACTCCACAGGGGGGTCCGGGCAGGTGTTGGGAGTTGCCGGGCGGGCCTGTGCCGAACTCGTTTTTCACCAACAGTCACACACTTCGTGCTCTTCGACTTCCCAGAACTCCATTCCCAGGCTCATTCTGAACAACCGGATGCAACAGTCACACACTTCGTGCTCTTCGAGATCCCAGAACGCCATTCCCGGGCCACATTCTGGAGGGCCGGGTGCAACAGTCACACACTTCGTGCTCTTCGAGTTCCCAGAACTCCATTCCCGGGCCACATTCTGGAGGGCCGGATGCAACAGTCACACACTTCGTGCTCTTCGACTTCCCAGAACTCCATTCCCGGGCCACATTTTGGATGCCCGGAGCCAACTGTAGGCCACTTCGTGCTCTTCGACTTCCCAGAACTCCATTCCCGGGCCACATTTTGGATGCCCGGAGCCAACTGTAGGCCACTTCGTGC